TATTATATTACCTTGTATTGCTCCAATGTTTCCCAACCTAAATCCAATATGTGCTCGTATCCTGACACTTGATAATCGTCTAGAACTTGATGATTATGATTTTGGTGGCTACATGTGTTTCTTTGTTGATTGAACTATAAAATTACTTCTAAAATGGGTAAGTGAATTGTTTAGATGTTGGAGTTTTGTTAACTGTAAGTGAGGACAATATGGTCCAAGGACGTACAGAATATGAAAAAGCACTAGTAATTTTTCACACCCAAGTTTTAATGTGGAAAAATATTTGTGAACCTCATCTTACAGATAAGTCCTGATTGTCCCGTGGAACAATTATGATCAGTTTTTAATACTGGTGGGATTTAACTAATTATGATTAGTTTTGCACCAGGAAATTAAATTCGTAACTTGGATTGTTTGAGACGAAAATGGCTGGATTTTGGTGTCCCAATCTTGCACTTTTAAGATACATTTCCTGAATTAGCGTAGTTGTGATTGGTCTGAGACAGAGAGCTGTTATATTCACATTCAAATGACTGAGGTAAGTTTTAGTTCATTATTACCTCCAAAAAAGATTGTGGTGGACCATTTATAAGTTATGATAGGTTAATATGGCTCTACTTGTTCCTCTCAGGGCACGTCACATCTTTTCTACTTGGTATTGGCACTGTTTTAATCCGGTCATGTTGGTTAGTTCTTTATGCCTTGCATATCAAGTATATCACTGCTCTTATCTCAGTTATTACGATTCAGACTGTCATATATACTTTGAGAAGGTCTACTTGTATAAGTTGCTATAGTCAGGCCAATTACCTTCTGTATGCAATGAAGCAACCTCATTCTTGTGTCCTTGTTCTTTTGTTGCATCACTCAATATAGTCAATATATCTTTTTAGGGCTTAGGAAATGCAAGGTGGAGAGAAAAAGTGACTCTTTTCTTGGCAGAAAATGTTATTTTGGTTTTTAATGGTATATATTCTTTTGTTTCTGTATTCTGCTCATGAGAAATCTTGCAAGATTTTCCTAGATGACAGCACCAAATTGATTATGTTTGGGTCAACTGGTAAACAATGTTGAAAATGTAGGTCCTAAACGATTTTAACTTTGCCAAAGTACTTAGGAGACGTATTTGAAAGGTTAACTGAAGATTGAATTAGAGGTCCTTGAAGTTTTACTACCTAAGAAACAAAAAAGTGCTTGGCCTCTCTAGAGTCATATTGCTTATTGACTTTATTGATATGCTTCTTTGGATCAATTTGATCACTTAGTATTTTCCGGGTTTAGGTCTGCAAGTTTCCGGGTTCAAAAATTCTATCTTGTTGAGCCAAATGCTTGTGTAAATCTTGGTCGCCTAACAACTTCTTTTGTTATCTATACATGAGTTCTTCTTTTCAGCAAAAATAAGTAATGCAGTTATCTTTTGGCTGTTCGTCCTTCCACAATGACTGGAAAAATATATTATTGTGTAACAAGTCAATTTGGAGCTTTTTCTTTTTTTAGTATCTACTAAAATGGCTTTGAAATGTTAGAATGGAAACGAAGTCCATTGACAGTGTTAAAAACTGGTCCACATTGAATAAATGTATCCCGGGGATATTTCATAAACATATTCTAATCATATTGATCAATTATTTTGTGCATAATATGTAGCTGTCCAAATCTATCTCAAGCTAGTTTGAGAGAAAAAATGTGATTTTTTTTCCAAATCCATTTTTCATACCAAACATGGTGAAGAACAAGAGATCTTCACTATAGAAGTTTTTTTGAATCTTGAAATTAAATGGTTTTTATGACTTTTGAGACTGGAAGAGTCGCGTGAAAATGCTTTCTTAGACTTGTTCTTTGTCTTAGCTAATAATTCACTAGTTTATTTTGAAATTAATAGAAAAATGCAGTTACAGTTGAAAAGTATTATTCTAAATGTGTGACCAGGCCTATATAGGTTGTGAATTATATCAGATGGGTCAGCATAATAATTTCTGACCTGCTAAATATTTATTGTGAGCCAATATGAACGTGGAAGAAAGCTAAAATTTCACTTGGACGTCTCATCAATGTTGCATAGGTTATTACATTCTTTCAGTCTTCTCGTGAACTATTTGCAAAACAAAAGATCTCTATGAAACAGAAGTTTTGGAGAAAATGTTGACTAAGAAGAGAATCAATCTTGTAGATTTCTACAGAATTTACCCATTTCGTGTTGAGAGAGTGATCTGAGTCTGGGCACTTCAAGAAATTTGTAGTTATTATGGTTTATATATTCAAAAAGTATTAGTTTTGCATTTCATAAGTTTTCTTGGTTATTTATTCATCAACCAAATCTTAACAGCAGAAGGAAAATTGTTCATTCTTGATCTTGAATGAGTTTCTATAAGAAATTGGTAAGTCTACCAAGAAATTAGTTGTTGATGCCGTTTGCATCTCAACCAATTGAATTCTGTCAGAAATAGTTTAAGCTATGTTGTGGAAGATTTCTCACGATAAAGGCCGCGGTCACAAGATAAGGTTAAAAAACCTCTTATTCCTTTTTCAACCATGGAAGCCCATAAAATTGGATTTTAAGCAAATTAAAAGTTAAAGCTTCCTATGTTTAGTCCTATGACATTGAAAGGTAAGGGGGAGTAATCTTGCTTGCAGTCAAACAAACAAAAATTTATAACTTCTGATACTTGTGTGACAATGAAGGGTAAATAGGATTTATCCTGCATGGGTTTAAAGAAGCAAAAAGTTGACAGAATGGATCAACATAATAATTTCTTAGACTTTACACATTCAGCAATTATTCAAATTTGATTTTCATTTGTGATTAGGAACTAATTTTTGAACAATGGCTTTAAATATAAGTCACTTGCTGGATGCATGTTTGTTGCATTGCCTCTTGTTTACGTATCTTTATGTATCTTAACTATATTTTTTTTCTTACCCATCTCGTCCTCAAAGTACCACAGAAATTCTGAACATGTCATAAATATTGGATGAGCTCACTCTTTTTAAAAAAAAAAAAAAAAATTTTTTGTCTCTCGTTCTTGGCAATAGTTCACTCTAGTTGGAGATTAATCATCTTCAAGCAGCTATGTAAAGTTCTCTACTTCTGTCAATGTACAAGTAAATGCATCTTGATGATACCAGTTCTCTTAATTGAAGCACCTTTGCGATGAATATTTTCTAATATTCTATTTTATAAGATATATATCCTATAGTGAAAGGAAGCTTTTGATGGTTTTAATAAATATTTCCTTTGTCGTTTTATTTTCAGCAGTAGTAGATATGATACCTAGCACCAATATGGCAATATCTGTAACTTTTTTGTGTCTATCTATTATTGGCAGATACAATGTTAAGCTCTAACTTCAGCCTTCAGGGTGATTGTGATTTGTCTGAGACTCTAGAAAGTTGTCGTATTCACATTTCAAATTATTTGAGCTTTTTTTTTTTTTTTTTTTTTCAAACTTGACTTGGCAAGTTATCACGGGATAAGGTGGCCCTATTTCCTACTTATGAGGTACTTTAGATATCTTGTATTTGCCAGTGGCTCCCATTTTTATGTTAATTTGAGTCATCTTGCTTAGTTCATTCTGCCTTGGCTCTTGGATCATATCAATTATATTTCAGTTAATACAACTCAGACTGTCATTTATACTTGGGCTAAATGGATATGTTGATATAGCTAAACCAATTACCTTTTGTATGCCATGAAGTAACTTTTTCCCATGCGGTTTCAATTAGGCTTCTTGTCATGTTATGTTGTTATATGTAGTCAATATTCTATTAAGGATTATAGAAAGTGAGTCGGATAGAAAGAATAACCCTTTTCTGGGCAGAAATTGATATTTTGGTATGTACTTTAATACTACCTTTTAATAGATTATAACAATTAAGTTTAGGGATTCCGGCTGTCAACTGTCTGAACAATCTCTATAAATGCTAGCTCCAAACAATTCCAACTTTGCCAAAGAACTTAGGAGGCAAATTTGAAAGGTTGAGCAAAGGTTGAAAACTTCAGATTTGTCTCATCTGATCATAGTTGCTTGAACCTTTATTGTCTGAACCAAAAAAAAAAAAAAGATTGCATGGACTATCTACAGTGATCTTGTTGATTGGCTCACTTTTTATGCTGGACCAGAATTTCAGATACTTTATTTATTTACTTATTTATTTTTTTGGATCAACTTGATCACTTGTATGTAGAGTTGTACTATTACAGGACAGATTTCTGACTACTTTCTGATTTTTGTATGGGAGCTGGCTTTCTGCGTTACATCTCAAGCTAGTAGTTCTTTAATGAAATTCCAAATCGTAGTTTACAAGATTAGAGAAGCTACATCCTTGGTGTTGAGAACCATTGCTCATAGACTACCATTTTGAATGGCAACCACATTCATTGACCTTTGCTGTGAAGGAGTCTTATACATGCTTTATTTCATGAAATTAGCATAGCAATTTAGCAATGCTGACAGCTGGAGTATTTCAGGTTGATGAGTCCTCACTACTGGTTTTGAAACGATTTGATGGGAATTTAATGTTCATTGAGATATATAGTTGCTTCTTTGACATGGATACAACCTATCCACAGGGGACAAGTTCGACCCAACATATGTACCAAACAAATTTCCTTAAAATTAATATAGTGGAATGGTTCTAGAAGACTTCTATTGCAGAATTTTGAGGAAAATTGCTAAGGAAATTATGTTGAGTTTTATGTCCAAATTTTTTCGTGGTCAGTGAGTGTAAACGCATTTGGTGCTTGTCTAAATTTTGGAGTTGTCGGTGAGTGTGAATGCATTTACTACTCATAATATATGAGACAAGCCTTAAAATACGGGTCACATTCCCTGTGGCATCAACTTTCAATAAACGTGTCAAATTCTGTAAATAAACTGATGTATGATGGTAATATCCAAGAAATGGGTGTATTGTCTGCCTATATCTATATATATGCCATTCTTTCCTCTAAGCAAGGGCAATTGATTTTTTTGGTAGAGGCAAAAATGCTTCTCACGGAGCACAGAAAAGAGATGAGAAGAAATGGGAAGAAATTCTCCATCTGTTGCTTATTAAAAATAGAGAAGACAATGGTAATGGATCATCGGGTTAATGATCTACCAGAAATATTGCCCTTTTGTTCATCCAGGTTTAATGGCTTTTTCTTCCTGTTCAACCTCTTTGTTTGCTCTTCACTTCATTTCTTTTAGCAGTGTTTTATTGCTTTTTTGCAAAACTATTGGTTCTAGGTGTTAATTTTTATTCATTTCTTTTCTTTTCAGGAAATACCAGATGGAAATTGGTATTGTCTGCAGTGCGCTTGCCAGATCTGTGGCAAGGGGATGGATGAAAAGGAGGCTTTACTACCTCTTGGAATGCTGAAATGCTCCCAGTGCCAAAATATGTGGAGGTTCTCCTGTCTCCTGTTATGCATTATCTTCATATGTGAGTATACATGGATAATCTTTGTGTGGTGGGGAGAGTGGGAGAGTTTATAAACTGAAGGGACAGATGATTACGTGTCATACTCAGATTCATTTTGATATGGCTAAATTTTCAGTCTTTTTCCAGAAAAAGACCCTTTTTTTGGGATTAATGAAGTTTCTTGCATCAACTGATTGGGATACAGATCTAAATGTAATTTTCCCACTGCTTTGGACCATGTTCCATATCCCATGTGGCCTCAACATGACTGTTGGATATATATAATTTATTATTATGCATTGAAAGTCTAACTTGTTAACAAAAATTTCTTCAAAGTGTCCTAAGGAAATATAACTGTGTCAAAAGTCCATCATAAGGTTTGGCGTGAAAACGTAGGCAGGTTTCACACTTTGGATGTGGATATGCATCTGGCATCCCTACTTGGATTTGGGTCATAAATAGGGTAACTCTAGTATCAACTTCCATTAGAACAAAAATAAGCATGATTTTCATTTGGTTGCTTTTTGTGTTACCCATCTGCCATTGTGTTATGTTGATCTTATAGTGGCATATTTGTCATTAGAAAACTTCAAAAGATTTTCATGTGTTTATCTTGTTGTTTGTGGGCCATGCAGTAGACTGTATGCAATTTGTTTTTATTATTGATTAGGTTTTGTTGCTTGTAGATCCTTAATTTGTCAGTTAAAATTTCTGGCAGCATGATTACTTGGATATGTTGGCAGATCATGAGGGTTGTGTGGAAGAACATGATAGCAAATTAGACATATCCTCTGATACCTGGTGCTGTTCTGCGACATGCCAAGGGGTATTCCTCTTTGTTTTACGACCAGTTTGGTATTCAATTTGTTGAATTCTTGCCATGCCGTCTTATGGCATAACAGTTTCATATGAAGTTGTTTCCCTGCAAGAGTTGCAAACCTGGAATGAAGTCAAAAGAAGTATCATTTTTTCTACCATGTCCTTTGGTCATGAGGTCATATTGGGCACAGGACTGTTGTGATTTTTAAACTTTAGTGTTGGATGAACCTGACAATTGGATCAGACCAATTATGGAACAGAGGAGTTTAGATTAGCTTTTCCAAGATATAGGTTATAGGTTCATTTTTTACGTACTTGTATTAGAACTGGGAATCAAGAGAGTGAAGAAAAATGAATTATACACAAATAAGACAGGAGATGTTGCCATTGAACTCAAAAGGATGTTTTTGGTTACTTCAGTTTACATGGTCATGTCTCATCCATGTAATGCAGGGCATGACAGTCTTAAATTAACTTTTAGAGTCCATATGTATAGGTTTTCCTGTATTGTTGTTTTCTGTGGTTCTATTCTTATTCCATTACTCTAAAAAAGTGAATATCTTTAAGATACTAGGTCGACTGTGTCATGTAGGTCTATCTTGGTCTTCAAGCAAACATTGGTCGTCCAATCCTGCTTCTGATGGATTTCGCTGGACACTTTTGAAGTGCATCAATGGTGATCAGCAAGCTCATTCTGCACAGAGTTTTCTAGCATTAAAGGCATAATACAACTCAAAGCTAGCTGTTGTGCCTCAAATGATGGAGGAATATTTTGACCCAATGGTGGATCCAAGATCCATTGTTAATATGATACCACAACTAATATACAATTGGGGGTGAGTTCTTTATCTTTCGGACATGAACCTTTTCCTGCTTAAAAATCTCTACTTATTCTGCACATGGTTTCTCTCATCATCCTCTTCTCCATGTTTTAAACCTTCTTTATTTAGCTCTCTCGTTCTGCCTTGTGCTTGTGTAATTGATTATTGATTATTAACATTCTATATGCCTTTTATGCGTACCATTTTTAATTTGCATTTCATCTTCCTTCGCTACTAATTTCAGTTAATTTCTTCACAGCCCTACGTTGCACAATGCAGATCAAACTCAGTGGTAGACTTTTTAAGTCAATATAGAGTAGTAATCCGAGATAAAATATCTGATTCTTTTAAACTGTGTATTTTTTGGTCTGTATACTTCAACTGTGTGTGTTTGCTATATATTCATCCCTGTGACTGAAGGTGTAGATATAGTAGACAATCATAGGCTTTCAAATTGTTATTAATCCTTTGCTGTTTGATGTTGTTGTGCTTTGTTTCTGTTGTTTAATAACTCACATGAGACGTTAATCAAAAGCAATGCACCATATGACTGCTTTATCTTTTGCAGCTCTAAGTTTCCTTGTGAAGATTGTAGTCGGTTCTACACAGTGGTCTTGGAGAAAGGCGACACCTTGATCGCTTTAGCATCAATCAGGTAATTGTTGTTATGTCATCTCTAGTGACTAGGAACTTTTCAGTCTTGGTCCGAGTACTGCACTGCTCCTTCCTCAATATAATCTTGTGCTTGTGGAAGCTATCATGTTGTATATAGAAGTGCTTGGTTTATTTTTCGTGTGGCTTATCTGCTGTCTGATTTTTGCAGATGCATTAATGAGAAGAAACCACCGTGTGTCATGCTGTTTGTTTACTACCAAAAGTCAATAGTATGAGTAACTGTTTTTGGCCACCAATGAACATGTCTTAACCAGAAAAAGTTTTTAACTCAATACAAGATATGCTTCTGGAGACACTATTGAGTCAGAGTAGTATTCTGCTGCAACTAGAGGTTCTAGTTCAGAATTAGATGTATAGCTAAGGTATAGACCTGTATCTTTTAAATTTGGCTTTGTGGTGAGGCATGTAAATTGATCCTAGTCCGAGAGCATGGTAGCAACGTCATGCTGTGTCTGCTCCTGTTTTAAGATCAGAGATGATTTTTCCTGTATTGCAGTCTTCTCTGAGATATTACGCATGAAAAGTTCTGAATATTGTCCTTCTTGACTCCCTCTATGGAATGCTAGATCTTTTGCATGTTGATCGTGGATTTTATTAGCGACTTAGTTAACTTCTATCTTCTGATTGGCTGTCAGTTGTTTTATCTGTTTCTTGGTTGAATGTTCAAGAATGATCTAACTTTTGGTTTTGGTTCAAGGTCCACGGTGTAACAGTTGCAGAAATGCCTTTTGCTGTCACCAGGGCATGTTCCGTCGCCTTTTACAAGCTATCCAATTGGTAGGAACTAAAATTCTTAGTTAGTTAATCGATGAATAGCTGAACATTCTCCTTCCCCAGTAAAAGAAATATCCATGTAAAAAATATATAAGAAAGTGTTGGATGAATCATCCAAAAATGGGAAAAATGGGATCCAGCCTTAGATGGATCATCCAAAATGTAGAAGTCACAAAAGTAAAACAAAGAAAGGCTTTTAATACATTTGTACGTGTGAGCGCTTGCAGTGGTGTGTGTTTGCCTGTTTGCACGCACAAGCGCGTGAAGCATGTGCTTGCTTTTGTGGGTGTGTGTCTCTCTGTGTGTGTGTCACAGAGAGCGAGAGCGAGAGCGAGATAGTAAACTCAAAATTTAACATTAAAGAGAACTGACCAACCAAAGTTGAACTTACCTGGTCAAAGCACCAACTAGGGGTGTCAATGGGTCGGATTTGGATCCGGACTAGACACAAATTCGATAAATTTTTTCGGATTTGGGTTGAAAAATAATTCCGATATCCGGATCCGGACTCATACCCGTTTACTTTAACAAAAAAATGTGTCGGATACAAAATATAGAATTTTGATCCGTATCCAATTAGGACCTGAATAATATATTAATAATTATAAAATATAAATATTTCTAAATACATTTTTTTACCAAATTAACAATTTAGTAATGACTTTGTAGATTAATTTGTGGTTAGTTTTGGATTGACTGTTACAAGTTATTTGTGATTTAGTTTTGTAATTTGATTTGTTTAAATTTGGAGATTAGATTTATGATTGATTTTGGATTTAATTTAGAAATGTTTAAGTCTATATCTTTTCTTTCCAGATAGACTTGGACCCGACTTGGGACCCATCAGTCTTGGTTTCGGGACTCTAAGGTCAAGCACATCGAGTATACGGGTCGGGTCTGAATCTACTACATAAAAATGAAAATTTCGAACCTGAACTCGACCCATTAATACCCCCAGTATCAATAACAAATTAAGGTAATATAATTGTTTTAAAAGCAGATATCTTGTGAGAAAATTGACAGACATATACCTATAAATACACTATCAGAGAAAGAAAGAAAGGGAAAGCGGGAAGCAATCTACAAAAACTGTATCTTCACAATTTAAGAAAGAAAATCCAAACGGACTCTTCTCTTTTTCCTTTTTGAAAAGAAATTAGATGACTTTTAACATTCTAAATAAATATTTGTGAAGAATAATGCATACTGAAATTCAATTAAGATGATTTTAACTTTCTTAAGAGTCTAATATTGATAACTTACTTTGAATCTTTACCATTTCAATAAATTCTTGCTATGAAGACTAATGGAATGTCCAGATCTACAATTAAGTTGGATTTTCCATCAGTTCGATGATCTTCAATTCGATGAAATTTTCGTAGGAAAAGAAAGAAGAGTGGTGCGGCAGAGGAGGGGGTGGTGAGCTAGAAATAGGGCACTAGAAGTTAAAACTGCTTTAATTAGTTGTACAAATGTGTAATTCAACGAGTAAAGAGAGTTATCAAATTGCCCTTTTAGCTTTAGGAAACAAAAGCTTGTATACACTGTATTCATACTTTTGGTAAGCTCATTATGCTTTTTTATCTCAGTGATAGGGCTCTGGCTTTAATGCCTTCTATCTGCGCAATACCACTTAGTGATGAAATCAATGGCAAGGGCCAAATGTTTTCCTTTATTTTTTTTGCTCCTATTTTCCTTTTGTCACTTGGAATGCAAAAAATCAGTATGGATGTGTACGTCCGTGTGTCCAACTTTCTATGTAGTACCAATTGAGAACTTCTATAAGATGATGCATATCATAGTCTAACAAGCCTCAGAATATGGGATACTGGAAGTACGGATTGGGGTAACATCAGATATATCCAACCACGCCTTTGGCATTGGAATCAGCCTGAATCAAGGAGATCAAGGACCACACCGAGGATGGGCGCTACGAGCAAGAAGTTCAGGATCAATTCTGGTGGATGAAGCAATTGCACTGAAGCTGGCAATGTGTAAGACAGCCACAACGCAAGCCAGGGAAGTGCAATTCCAAGTGCAAAACCCACAAATCCTTAACAATATTCGCACAAACAGAGTAAGTGAGATTAGATTAGCGACTGTTGTGGATGACATTCTTCAATTAAGCCAATTGTTTCATATGTGCTCCTTTTGCCTAGTTAGAAAAGATAAGACTCATTTAAGCTACAAGCTTAGCATTCATGCCTTGGGCATTATTTTTGATGAGGAACATTGGTTTCCTTAGTGGTAAATATGCCGCTTGTAAAGTTCAATCGAGCCCTTGCTCGCACTTGTATATCATTTGTCAAGCAATACAATCAATTATCGTTTCGAAAAAAAAAAAATAGTCTAACAAGCCTCTTTTATTAATATCTAGTTGAAAAAGTGGGCCAGAAAAGTATTTTAACTAAAAAAAAATGAACCTAATTGACCGGACTTGGTTTTCCATTGATCATGAGATAAGTTGATGATATATTTTGTTAATATTTAGCTGAAGTTTTTTTAAATTTATTTTATTTTAGACGCGCACACATATTCACATCAATGTCTAGAAGTTTTGGTAATTATGGCATTTTGTATGATGGTTATGTATAGTAGTAGGTTTTTGTGCTTATTTGAATTATTATCAAATTCGAATTTTTCTTAGTATGTAATCCCTTTATTAGATTGAGTGGAAAAGGTTGTTCTTCTTTGAATAGTTCTTTTTTGGTTGCGAAGAACATAATAGATTTTGGTAATTTATGTAAATGGTACCTTGGGAGATTTGATGAGTAAAAAGTTCTATTTTGTTGAGTAATCGAACTGTCAGGTATTCATTAAATTTGAGGTTGTGTAAGAAGACAAGTAGACTTAATAGGGGGAATGGAGGAAAGAATTGTTTTGAAGTTGAACGTATGATTGTTTAAAACTTGAAACTAAAAGTTGCAATTGGGGGTCATTGCAACTGGAGGCTATAATTTGTAACAAGAGAGTTTAGGTTCTTCTCTCCGGTCAATTAGGTTCTTTTTTTTTTCAGGTCTCACGCCAAATTTGGAAGAGGAAAGGAATGGGTTTAAGGATTTGAGTACTTGGGCTATTGAGTAATTCGGGTTAATTATTTTGGACTAGTGGATTTTGGTCCAAAAATTACTTGAGTCAATGCTTGGACCCAGGTCATGACAATTAGTATCAGAACAAATTTCGCATGGTCTTTGCATGGAGTGAGTATGAGCCAGCGGATTATGGTTTCGACTACGCAAAAAAGTGTAACGAATTAAGTACCGTGAGGGGCTAAGTGACACGTTCAACATGGCTACCTCTAGAACTAACGGGACTAAGCGCAATGTCAGACAAAGGCCACATCTAGAATCTGTACGAGTCACTTCTAGAATCCGAGTATGATCAAGTGGACAGTATGAATTCTGACGGGTTTTGTAAGAGCGCAAAGTTCTAAATGTGGGGAGAATGTAGTATCCCACGTCAAATTTGGAAGAGGAAAGGAATGGGTTTAAGGACTCAAGTGCTTGGACTATTGAGTAATTTGGATTAATCATTTTGGACCAGTAGATTTTGATCCAAAAATTACTTGGACCAACCTTTGGAGCCAAACCGTGACATAAAATACTTTTTTGGCCCATTTTTTCAATTAGCTATTAATAAAAGAGGCTTGTTAGACTAGATATGCATTGTCTTATAGAAGCTCCCAATCGGTACTACACAGGCATATGTCTGTCAATTTTCTCACAAGATTTTTGCTTTTAAAACAATTAAATTACCTTAATTTGTTGTTGGTGCTTTGGTTAGGTAAGTGGAATTAGCATCTATATTAGTTTTCTTTATCTAGTTATTGTTTCTCATAAACAGATTTGGTTGGATGTTAATTGAGTCTTATCTAATTAGTTTTCTATTCTTCGTGAAATTCCTGATCTGAAGGAATTCTTCCTAAATTTCTGGACTGGAATATCAGTCTTTCTGCTATATGTACCTCTCTGTTATTCATCTCAAAATAATGGAAATAATTTCTTTTCTCTCTCAAAGTTTCACATGATATCAGAGCTTTCACTCCGATCCATTTCTAATAACCTAATTTTGTGAAATTCATTCTTCATTCTCATTCTAATCTAGGTAACTTCAAACCTTCTACCCTTCAAGTCTATCTTCTAGCAATTCTTTAATCTCTTCCTTCTCGATTCCTCTAAATCACATCATGACAAATTTGGAGTAGCATTTCAAACCTCCACTTCCAAGATCAATTCTAAATTAGAAGGGGAATCTACAATGACAATAGCCACTCATAGTAATCCAGAATTTGAAACAATTCTGATCACAAGTCACAAGTTAAATGGAAAAAATTATCTTCAGTGGTATCAATTCATGTTGATGTTTATTTTCGAAAAAGGTAAAGATACATATCTCACTTGTGAGATTGAAATCCAAAGAAAGGAGATTCAAAATTTAGGCAGTGGAAGAGTGACAATAATATGATAATGTCATGGTTGATAAATTTCATGAACAATGATATAAGGTGAAAATTTTCTTCTCTATGGCACAGCAAAAGACTGGGACGCAGCAAAGAGACATGCTCGAGTTCTGAAAATACAGCAGAACTGTTCTAGATTGAGGCTATCTTGCATGATTTTCGCCAAGAGAGTCTCTCTGTCATACAGTATTTCAATACCTTAACACAGCACTGGCAGCAACTTGATATGTTTGATACTCACACATGGAAGTGCACAGATAATGCAGTTAATTACAAGAAAATTGTGGAGCAGAAAAGAATATTCAAATTCCTATTGGGACTCAACAAGGAGTTGGATGAAGTAAGCGGA